GTTATCTTTTAGAGTTTGAAGCGAAACATTTTTCAAATCGCAGTGCTAGGGTATGATGATTCTTTTTGAAAAAAATATACGTTGTGCCAGACCATGATAGAAGACCATGACTATTTAATTCGTATATTCCAGTACGTAGAGTGTCATTATTTATCGAATTCCACAGAGTTTTTAGCAGGAAAATTAGAAGGTCTTAACATAAATCGAATAATTTTAGTAAAAATATCATGCATTTCTCACAGAAAGCAGAGTTTTAGCAAACCCCATATAGGCAGGTGCCGACAAGCAGGCAGATAAATAGCACGTATGTTCATTACGGTTGAAAAACCATTGTATTCTAGTAGATGGAATATAACAAAATTTTGTGAGGCTTTGTCCGAAAAGTTTAGGCGTAATTACCAAACTGAACATGTTTTGATGAAAACTAGTTTTTATTCTTATGCGTTGCCGCTAACGATACAATGGTGTTGGTGTTTATTAAGATGATCTGTCTGAATCAATTTGTTCTCTTTTCATGAAATTACTTTCAATCATTAAAAGAAAGTGTTCGAAACGTGACGAAACAATTCTTTTTCTCTGTATGTTTATGCGCACTGTAGTAAGTATCTAGAAAATGGAAAGAGACATTTTTGTTCGATGTAGCAGCCTTTTTCTTGTTATATAATTTCATAAAACATGGCATTGTCACACAAAATAAACTACAACAGTATTAGGACTTTTATTATACTATAAAGTTCCCGCACTATATGTCATACAAAAATTTCCTACAGTGTGCCTAGTAGAAGATTTGATAAACATATAAGCGTTTGACTTTTTAACGTAATGCAAAAAAGCGCTGATGTGGATTTTTTAAGTGGTATTTTGAGGACTAGGTGGACGTGTACACATATCTATTTTTAGAGACAGATTCTTCCATTTACCACTATCCCCCGGAATGAAACCATAAGTCGTCTTGAAGCCAGATGTCTCCAATGCTTACTTTTCTTCCTTACAATGATCTATTTTTTGTTTAGATGTCATTTTCGAGACTATTAGATACACGTTGTCAGTTTAAGGACAACGATATGAGCCAATGCAAATTTCGAGTCTATCGGGTCTGTCATCATTGTCGATTATGGATGTGTCAGTCTCATAAAGACGAACACAATAGAATACTGAGTGAGGATCACCACAAATTTATTGATGAAATTAATAATAAAAAACTCTATTTGAATAAATTAAAAACTAGCGAGATTTCAAAATTAGACAATTACCAACTCTTAGAAGAATGGAAACAAGCAAAATTAGATAAATTAGATAAAATATATAAAAAAGAGGTAAATAATGTTGAATTATCGTATAATAATGATGAATTTGACAAACTGAAGATGAAATGTATGAATGATATAGATAACACACTTCAACGAGAATCTACAATGACATCAAAAGATTTACAAGCATTCATCATAGAATTAAATAGTTCAATTGATCAATTAGAATTAATAATGCAACGTAATAGTTTGAATAGAATGGAACAAAATAATAATATAAAAAATCGACTTGAAAATGCATTAAATCGCAATAATTATAAAGAATTCATTTTTAACGTGAATTTTGTTAAATTTCGTCAAATTGCAGCATCACATGAACACATACTGATAGATGATGAACAAAAATTACTATTATTCGATAAAACGGGTTCTACAACCGTTATACCATGGAATAAACAAGAAAATGGTTTCATTAGAGATATGGTCTGGTCTAGTTATTTAAATAAATTTATAATCTTAGGAGTTCATCTATTATTCACGTTTGATTGTTCAACCATGATTATCGAAAATATACGATATTTTCCGCGATTGAATTTTATGACTATCCACAATCAAGATATATTATTAAATTTTGATAATGGTAAATACCTTGAATATTGGCAATTAAGTGGAAGATGGAAATTTGTACAAAGCTGGACAAAACTACAATTAGGATATAAAAATACTGATGTAATATATAAGATGAGTATCAGTGGTGTACGAGTTGCAATGAACTCCACTTGCAATGAAGGCCGCTTTATCATTGATATATTTGACTTTTCATCAATGAATTGGTTATATTGTATCAATGACGACAACTATAATATTCGCTTATTAACAAACATTCATCATAATAAATGGTTATGCATTAATGACAAGACAAAACGTTTTTATTGCACGGTGAAAAATAATTTATTTGAAATAAAATATAATCAAAATGTGATTCATAGTTTATATCAGGTGGCGTTATTTAATGAAAAATATTTTATCATATTGGGTTATGAACCGGAAAATAAAGCGAAATTATTATTGTACAATATTGAAGGAAATTGAACTAATTTTTTTATTTTAAACTCTAGCTCTCATCAGTGGTCATTTAAATCGGGTTACTCCATTGTACCTGTGCCCAAATGTACCGAGACAGTAAATGAGACGAACAGACGACCGAACTAGACATTTCATAAGAGATATGGCAATTGTTTTTTCTTGAGGCATCTTGTTAGAAAATTAATGCTCATACAGAAATAAAAAAGCTTTCGTCCAGTTCACTGAAATAGCATTTTTTCTTATTATAATATTGATAATTACCATCACTTATGATATAACCAGACGCGATGCAGTAAATTCTACAAGTGATGCTATTTCAGATTTATATCTCGTATTATATATAGTCAGCTGCTGATAGTGTTTGAAGATAGTTACCCATTCTTTTACAAATTGCCAAACTGCAGCTCTGGTCAAAAGTCTAGCTGGATACAAGTTCTTCCACTTAAGATTTATAAAAGCTGAGTTCAAGAAAATCCTTTCAAAACCCCTTTCTAAGTATCCTAGTTTCTACTGGAAACTATAACTAGGATAAAACAAAGTTCAACAGACTTATTGTAAATATTAAAAGAGAAATCAGTTCGTTGTTAAATGATACAATATTCTAAAATGATGAGCAGATACGTATAAAATACGCTACTGGATTTATCTCATATTAGTTTGCATCGAGATCGAGTATCAAATGAATTGTTATAATACAAGGTTTAGTTCTAATCGAAGTTTGTTCCATTTCAGGATTTTAGGCAACTTTTAGCAGGTGTGAATGTTAAAAGAGGAAAGCGACGTTACAAAAGACTATTGTATGGAGAATTAAACGAATCTCAAGGTGTGGTCAATTTGCAGAATCAGTAAGATATTTCACAAGTCTACTGATATTGTATAGTAGGCATACATTCCATCTGCATCGTCTATCTAAATGGAAGGTGGTTGCAATGGAAGTGACAATTAAATTTGAATACAATAATCATTTAACAAATTAACAATTACAACGTTTCGTTTTCTATCATAATAAATGGTTACTGGTGCTGGAACATTGCCTGAACGTGGCTGTATCATAGTTATGAATGAAAATGCGCTTGAAGAAAGCGATGTTTTCATATTTTTACATTTTATCAATCAAATGGTATTCTTACTGTTCTATGTACCCTTTGAGATTCTCCCAGTTGTCTATAAACTAGTCTTTTGTAAGGTTGTTCTCGTCTTTTAACATCAACATTTGCTAAAAGTTGCCTAAAATCCTGAAATGGAACAAACTTTGATTAGAACTAAACCTCGTATTATGATGTGTCTATATCTACACAGTTTTTGAAAAGAAAAAAGAAATATTTATCTCTGTTCTCTACTATACGGACGTACTCTTTTTAGCTTTTTATCGTGTAAAATGCTTTATTTGTTCTTAACAATTAAAATTACACTCTGAAAAAAGTCGAATTTTATCTCATTAAAGTAAATTAAACATAAACTTCAAAATAATTGCTGTTACATTACTGACAATTTAGAAAAGCTCTCTCTCGCTCCAGAAGTTTAAATTAGAAGCATTCTGATTGATGCACTGTGGACATCGAAAGAATGAAACATGAATCGTTTCCAATTAAATGTTTTTTTTCTTGCTTTTGGTAATGTTTCTCATATGTTCATAATGTTTCTCCTCACTGAAGTAAATAAGTCTAATTCTTCTTGTCATAAAATCTATCACTTTACTTTTATATCCTTGGATGATGACACGTTTGATTAATAGATCTGAATCCTTAAGAAAATCACTTCCTCGCGACGTGTGTTTGGCAGCGTAGAATTATTGTTGGTAATAGTCGGGGTGGGATTGGTCTGAAATCTGTCGCAGAGGTTCATGCGCAACACTGATACTACCAATATGATTACAGTCCAAGAGAAATAGTCTCCTTACAGTAGTAAGGAATTTACCTTTCCCTTCTCTATCGTTTAAGTGGAAGCCATCGTACAAATCATTGTCGATAACCTATGTTGCTACGGTCTGAAAGTTCATCTCGTCAGGTAAAGCTCGAATGAGATCATTTGTGCTATGAGCATAAATTCTTTAACAGTATGTAGCATTTGATAGGCATGTGGTGTGTCAATGAATGCGAGAAGGGTTGTGGTCGTTGCTCGTAGAAAATACTTGATTTTGTCAAGTTCGTTCGAGTTACGTAACCCGAATAAATGGACTCAAGCACAAAGTGAATCAGTGAGGAGAGCGACGTTAGTTTCATAAGTGTCTGCTGTGGTTGTCCGCGAATGTTCCAGGGTGACCATGTTTGAGGATTTTGTGGTCAGACGAGCTATTTGTTGTCTAGCGTATGATCGAATGGGCGAGTGAGATGTAGATCGCGATGCTAATGCATGGTATCTCAATGGAGCTTAGCGATTTGGTGTTGTCATCAATGGTATGATTGGCTGTCGTTGATTACCTGTTATATTTCGTGATGGACGATGGACTTCCGTCGTTTTTCCACGGTTTTTTGTATGTCTAGCTGGCTGGTAACGGAGATAAGACGATGGTCGATATGACTGAATGTTTGTGTAACTGTTAAAAGTCGTTGTTGTGCCGCTTTGAAATCGGCGGTTCGAGTGCAGGACATTCAGCAGTGGTCGATATTGTGAACCGTGAATTAGTAGTTATCGTGTCGGTGTTTCTTACCGTTTGGTTGATTTGGCTTTTCGTTGGCGTCTAGATGGTTGTTTCAACATTCAGCCTGGTAGAGTAGGAATGACTAATGTAGCTGGCTGTTTGGATAATACTACTATTTTTTCATTGTCTTCTCATCCTTTTCTTCTCTTCTTTCTCGGTTCATCTCATCGCCTATATCTATTGACTTCTCTTATAAATCATCTTTCTCTCTATCTTTTTCACAGTCTAGCAACCGGCATCATGTCAACGTCCACTACCGGCTCGTGTTTCAGAAAATATGCCAAAATGAAAAGCGTTATCGTCACCGACGTTGCCTTTTACTCCCAGGACATCGTTCTCTACACTTTGTATGGATATCATCTGTATCAGTAACAACCGCGAACGAATTATTCACATCTTCCAAACAGCCAGCTACATTAGTCATTCCTACTCTACCAGGCTGAATGTTGAAACAACCATCTAGACGCCAACGAAAAGCCAAATCAACCAAACGGTAAGAAACACCGACACGATAACTACTAATTCACGGTTCACAATATCGACCACTGCTGAATGTCCTGCACTCGAACCGCCGATTTCAAAGCGGCACAACAACGACTTTTAACAGTTACACAAACATTCAGTCATATCGACCATCGTCTTATCTCCGTTACCAGCCAGCTAGACATACAAAAAACCGTGGAAAAACGACGGAAGTCCATCGTCCATCACGAAATATAACAGGTAATCAACGACAGCCAATCATACCATTGATGACAACACCAAATCGCTAAGCTCCATTGAGATACCATGCATTAGCATCGCGATCTACATCTCACTCGCCCATTCGATCATACGCTAGACAACAAATAGCTCGTCTGACCACAAAATCCTCAAACATGGTCACCCTGGAACATTCGCGGACAACCACAGCAGACACTTATGAAACTAACGTCGCTCTCCTCACTGATTCACTTTGTGCTTGAGTCCATTTATTCGGGTTACGTAACTCGAACGAACTTGACAAAATCAAGTATTTTCTACGAGCAACGACCACAACCCTTCTCGCATTCATTGACACACCACATGCCTATCAAATGCTACATACTGTTAAAGAATTTATGCTCATAGCACAAATGATCTCATTCGAGCTTTACCTGACGAGATGAACTTTCAGACCGTAGCAACATAGGTTATCGACAATGATTTGTACGATGGCTTCCACTTAAACGATAGAGAAGGGAAAGGTAAATTCCTTACTACTGTAAGGAGACTATTTCTCTTGGACTGTAATCATATTGGTAGTATCAGTGTTGCGCATGAACCTCTGCGACAGATTTCAGACCAATCCCACCCCGACTATTACCAACAATAATTCTACGCTGCCAAACACACGTCGCGAGGAAGTGATTTTCTTAAGGATTCAGATCTATTAATCAAACGTGTCATCATCCAAGGATATAAAAGTAAAGTGATAGATTTTATGACAAGAAGAATTAGACTTATTTACTTCAGTGAGGAGAAACATTATGAACATATGAGAAACATTACCAAAAGCAAGAAAAAAAACATTTAATTGGAAACGATTCATGTTTCATTCTTTCGATGTCCACAGTGCATCAATCAGAATGCTTCTAATTTAAACTTCTGGAGCGAGAGAGAGCTTTTCTAAATTGTCAGTAATGTAACAGCAATTATTTTGAAGTTTATGTTTAATTTACTTTAATGAGATAAAATTCGACTTTTTTCAGAGTGTAATTTTAATTGTTAAGAACAAATAAAGCATTTTACACGATAAAAAGCTAAAAAGAGTACGTCCGTATAGTAGAGAACAGAGATAAATATTTCTTTTTTCTTTTCAAAAACTGTGTAGATATAGACACATCATAATACGAGGTTTAGTTCTAATCAAAGTTTGTTCCATTTCAGGATTTTAGGCAACTTTTAGCAAATGTTGATGTTAAAAGACGAGAACAACCTTACAAAAGACTAGTTTATAGACAACTGGGAGAATCTCAAAGGGTACATAGAACAGTAAGAATACCATTTGATTGATAAAATGTAAAAATATGAAAACATCGCTTTCTTCAAGCGCATTTTCATTCATAACTATGATACAGCCACGTTCAGGCAATGTTCCAGCACCAGTAACCATTTATTATGATAGAAAACGAAACGTTGTAATTGTTAATTTGTTAAATGATTATTGTATTCAAATTTAATTGTCACTTCCATTGCAACCACCTTCCATTTAGATAGACGATGCAGATGGAATGTATGCCTACTATACAATATCAGTAGACTTGTGAAATATCTTACTGATTCTGCAAATTGACCACACCTTGAGATTCGTTTAATTCTCCATACAATAGTCTTTTGTAACGTC